ATAAAAATATATACATAAGATACATAATAAATACATTTTGAATGGAAATGGGGGGAAAAAAAAGTATCTAGGAAGCTGTTAGATGCCCCCAAATGATGTTCTCTGAAGATCTACTCGATCTGGCTTCCTCTTGATACCAAAAGAGAGAGGAGCAACCTCACCCGGGTGTGGGGTCAGGATGTGCCCCCGTGGGGAGCCCCAGGCAGGGCAGGAGGGGATGCAGTGGGGCACCCCCTTGACTCCAGCACCTCTGCCTCTTCCCAGACTGCCCCGTGGACCTGTTCTTTGTGCTGGACACCTCCGAGAGCGTTGCCCTGAGGGTGAAGCCCTTTGGAGACCTGGTTGCCCAGGTGAAAGATTTCACTAACCGCTTCATTGATAAGCTGACCAACAGGTACATCTCCCCATCATCTCCATCATCTCCCCGGGGGACACATCCAGGATGCTTTTAGGGATGGAGCTGGGGTGCTGGGTGGGGTGCTGAGACCTCTCTGGATGCCCCTCTGTGGAGGGAAAGGATGAAAGCAGGGATGCCAGGGAGTGGGGTGGGAGCATCTCCTCCCTCTCCTGGTCTCCAGCCTCCTTGGGTTTGCTCTGGGTTGCAGCACTGCCTGTACCCTCCTGGGGGACACACGTGGCACCTCAGACCCCTCCTTGGGGTGCTGCCACCAACTGAGGTCTGACTCTTGCTGGTTTTGTCAGCGTGAGGGCACCCAGGGGCACCCAAGCTCCCAGAGGGCAGAGCAGGGTGATGTTGGGAAGAGCTGAGGGCAAAGGCCATGCTGGCAGGAGATCCAGGGATGCATGGGGCCACCTGGGTCTTGCTGAAGCCCCTTGAGACACCAAGAGAGGTGTGGTTGTCCCCAGGCCTCCATAAGTGCAACTTGGCTATCTCCTGAAGGAGGTGTTGGGTTTTCTCCAGGGCCCCTACTGCAGGCAAACGGAGGGATGGATCTCCTGAGCCCATCCCAACCTCCCCCAGTGCCCACCCTGCTGCTCTCTACATGCTCTGGAGACATCTCCCTGCAAGCCACCACTGTGCATGAGGAAGCAAGGGAGCTGTGCAACACCATCCCTTTGAGATTTGGGTCCCACCCGCCTGAAATGACCCTTTTTGGGTCCCTGGCTAAAAAAAAAACCCCAGGGAGTTGTGATGTCTCTATCCCAGGGTGCAGGCTGTGCCAGTGGACAGGATGAGACTTCAAGACTCACATTCATCCCTCTCTGAGCTTCAGAGAGAGGCATCCCTCTGATTTTGACCCAGCCAGCAGGGGCAAAACTGCTGCAGTCCTGTGTGAGGTGTTTTTGGTGGTCACCCACCTCCTCTTTGCCATCCACCTCAACACCTCCTACTCATCTCCAGCCACCCCAACCTGACATCTCTCCGGGAAGCTTCTCCACCAAGCCACCAGGCCCTCTGTGAACCCCTTACAAAGCCCTACAACGTTCAGGCAAAGGATTTGCCCGTTTTATAGGGCGGGCCAGCGGGTTGTGAAGTTGGGGTGGTTTGGGTAGGGCGTGGAACCCAAGGGGTGGAAGATCAGGTCCTGCTGCGTCCCCGCAGGTACTACCGCTGCGACCGGAACCTGGTGTGGAACGCTGGGGCCCTGCACTACAGCGACGAGGTGGTGCTCATCAAGAGCCTCACCTCCATGCCCGACGGCCGGGAGGAGCTGAAGAACCGTGTCTCCACGGTCAACTACATTGGCAAAGGCACCTACACCGACTGCGCCATAAAACGGGGCATCGAGGAGCTGCTCATCAGGTCGGGCTGCTGGAGCCGTGGCCAAGAAGCCATGGGGAGGTGGAGTTTGAGGAGGGAGGGGAGGTGGTTCTTGGGTTTGGGTGTCCCTGGGGGTTGCGTAGGGTTGGTCTCAAGGTGGGAGAGGAGGTCGTCTAGGCATGGAGGAGGTGTGGTGGTGGCGTGTTGCTAGGGCTCTGGTTTTGGTGGGGGGAGGCATGGCTTGACCATAGGTTGGGGCATGGCCTGGAGTGAGTGTCTGGAGATACCCAGGCTGCTCCTCACCAGCTAAATCCTGTGATTTAAACCCTTGCAGTGGCTCCCATCACAAGGAGAATAAATACCTGATCGTGGTGACCGATGGACACCCCTTGGAAGGGTACAAAGAGCCCTGTGGAGGCCTCGACGATGCTGCCAACGAAGCCAAACAATTGGGCATCAAAGTGTTCTCTGTTGCCATCTCCCCCAACCACCTGGTAGGCACCGTGCAGCAGAGATGCTCCCCACAGCCTCGTTCAGAAGACCAAGGGGCCCTGAGTTGGGACCAAAGAACCCTCAGGATGGCAGAGGAAGCTCCGAGTGCCCCTCGGAGCCTCATCCTGGAGGAAGGACGTGGGTGTGGGGACAAGTCCTGCAACGGGTGCCCCCAGGTCTCACTGTGTCCTCCCCTTCCCCACCCCAGGACCAGCGACTCAACATCATCGCCACGGACCACGCCTACCGCCGCAACTTCACCGCCACCAGCCTGAAGCCAACCCGGGAGCTGGACGTGGAGGAGACCATCAACACCATCATCGACATGATCGTGAGTGCTGCCTGACCCCTCCCCAACCCTCACCCCCTCCCTCTCCATCCCCCACCTGTCTCCAACCCTTCCTCTGGGCTTTCTTCTCTTGCAGAAACTCAACACGGAGCAATCGGTGAGTGGCCCTTGGAGCCCTTGCTTCCCCCCCAACCCCTTTCATGAGTTTGTCCCCTGAAGGTCATCTACAGCCAAGGTGGGGCTTGGTGGGCACCTCCCTGGCTCCTGCCAGCCTTGGGGGCTCCCCCCAAGTGAGGTGCAGCCCATCCCTGGTGCTCCCCACCACCTCTAATGCTGTTTTCTCCTTCTCCCTGGGTAGTGCTGCTCCTTCGAGTGCCAGGTAAGTCAGACTTTTGGGACCCCCCTCTCCCCTTCCCCTGCAGCTCCATCACCCCAGGCTGTGCCTCAGTGGTTGGTTTAACCCATCCCTCTCTCCTGCAGCCTCCCCGAGGACCTCCTGGACCTCCTGGTGACCCAGGCAATGAGGTGAGGGTCTGTCTGTGGACAAGCTGCAGGGTGGGGTCTATGGGATGGGCTCGCTGGAGATGCTCAGCAGAAGGTTGGGCGTGGGTCTTTGCCATCCCACCACTGCCCCATGGGGAGGGTTGGCATCAGCTGCTCCCCACGTCCACGGGGCATGGCTGCTGCCCTCCTCCCTGCTCTCCTTCCAGCAGGTTGGCCTTCTGTTCCTGGAGATGACCAGCTAACTTTATTTCTGTCTTGTATTGCAGGGAGAAAGAGGCAAGCCAGGTCTTCCTGGCCAGAAAGGAGTGGCTGGAGACCCAGTAAGTACAGAACTGGCACTGGTGACAGTGCAGGAGCTATTTTTTGGACCATTTCTGACATCTTGAGGGCATCTCCACCAGCCCTTGCCCCCCCTCCCCGCATCACCCCGTTTCCATGGGGCAGAGCCTGAGAAACAGCAGCTCCTGGCAAGCAGTGGGGGTGGCCCCCTCCTCCTGGTGCTACAAGGCTTCCTTGTTCCTCACCCAAAATAGCTGTTCCTCCTGGAGGACACGTCTCTGACTCATGTGCACCAGCCCAGGGGTGGACTCTGGGCTGGCTCCCCTGTGTTCTGACACGACAAGCACAGCAGTGTTACAGGGAAACCTTTGGTCAAGAAGAAGTTAGTAGCATAAAGAAACTATTTCTCTCTTCCTCCCTTTTATTTTGGGGGCTTTTTTTTCATGGGAGGTGCATTTCTCCCACACACGTGAGCCTGTAGTTACTCAGCCTGTGCCTTCCCAATTTGGAAACCCCACATCATGCACAGGTTTCATTTTTTTTTCCCTTCCCAAGGGTTTTCTGCCCTTCCTCACCCCCAGGAAGGGCAGGAGATGGTGGAGGTGAAGGCAGGTCCCCTCTGCAATGATTCCATGCACCCAGAGAAGGCAGCTGATGAGCATGGTTAGGGGAGAACCTTCAGCTTGAGGCCTGAGCATCAAGAGTCTGGGGGTCAACTGCCCCATGGTGATGGTGGTGGCAGTATCTGTCTCCATAACATCATGTTTCTGTCTTCTAGGGCAGGCCAGGGGACATGGGGCCTGTTGGCTACCAAGGAATGAAGGTATGTAGGGTCACTGTGGTTCCTAGATGGGCCATAGGTTTTGTGCTGCAAGTGTTTTCATTCTCCTATTTTTTTTGTCTCTTCTCTTCTCTAGGGTGACAAAGGAAGTCGAGGAGAAAAGGTGAGGACAGCAAAGATTTTGGGGGGATAATGGGAAACCTCTTTATTTTGAGGGTGCCAGAACCCCTGGAGCAGGCTGGCCAGAGAGATTCCAAACCTGCCTGCTCTGTTTCATCAGGAGAGGGTTGGACCAGATGATCCCCAGAGGTCCCTTCCAACCCTTCCCATCCTGTGATCTGTGTCCCCCTTGCTTGGTCACCCTGGGCTGCAGCTCCCTGGTGTTGGGGCGTGGTGTGTGCCCACGCCAGGAGCAGGGACCCGATGGGAACAGCCCCTTTGCAGCCTTGGGGATCAGAGAAGCACCCTGCAGGGGGCACAGCCAGGCAGAATGGGGGAGACCAGTGGAGTGCAGGGTCACCATGAATGCCCCCACCTTCAGATCCACCTGCCGTGGGGATGGCACCATGGTGGGGGCTCCATGCTCTGCATGGGAGCCTAACACCTCTCTCCTTCCCTTTGCAGGGCTCGAGAGGAGCCAAAGGAGCCAAGGTCAGCCTCTGCTTTTACACCATTTATTCTTTCTGGTTGGAGAAGGGGTTTTTGGGTTCAATTCTTCATGGTCTGTGTTCTCCCTTCAGGGTGAGAAGGGCCGGCGTGGGATCGATGGCATTGATGGCATGAAGGTAAATCTCACCTCTGAGCCACTCTGCTCAGACTAAGGACCATAGCTTGTGCCAAGACATCCCTCCAAAACCACTGTGAGGACCCAGGGGGGCTTCCTCCCTGCAGGACCTATCAGCTTCAGACAGGGCTGGGATGTCCCTGGCAGGGCTCTGGGATAACGGGTGGGGTCTTCCCACGGCCACCACTCATGGAGACACCTCCTTTGTCCCTCTGACAGGGTGAAGCTGGATACCCCGGGCTACCTGGCTGCAAAGGCTCACCTGGATTTGATGTAGGTACCCCATGGCTGCCCCTTGCATGCAAATGAACCGTTGCAGCAGGTCTGTGGACACGGGGAGCCCCCCAAAAAAAGGAGAGCTGTAGGAGGGAGTTGCCATCTCTAGAGATGCAACGCTCACGGCCCTGTAGCCTTCTCCTTGCCTGGAGATCATCCCCACCATCCAGGGGGCTGCCTGTGAAGCTGCACATCAAGGGAGGCTTTAGCTGGAGGCTGTTCTGCACCAGGAGCTTGGCAAAGAACAACTCAAGGTTGGATAGACAGGGCCAGGACTGACCAACTTCATCCTGATGCAACCAGCCCCCAAGAAAACGTTGGAGAGTTTGGAAGGCTCTGGAAATCTTTGCCCTAACGTTGCATTTCTCCCCTTTCCCTGCGTGGTCCTGTGCTCCCAGGATGATAGATCCATGGTGGCACCACCTACAGCAGCCCAGCCACCCCCTCTTCTGCCCTTTTCCTCCAAGCTGTGGGACCCTGCTGAGTTTCAGCAGCGTGGTGGCACCTTTGCTGGCGTGGCTCCACGGTGCAGGAGTATCATGCCATCCCCCATGGTCCTTCCTGTCCATCCTGCTGGGGAGCTGCCCGAGATGCTGGGTCCATGTCCAGTTTCCTGTAGACAGTGAGAGGGGCTTGGTTTTCAGTGGTGCTACCTTCATTTCCAACAGGGAGCTCAAGGCCCACCTGGACCCAAGGGAGATCCTGGTGCCTACGGACCCAAGGGAGGAAAGGTGAGCCACTCTTCCCAGTCCCATGCAGAAGGGAAGGGTGGTGGGACCTCTCAACAGGGAGAGGTGGGGATTTGACCCATCACAGCCCAGAAAGGTCCTCAGGGCTCCTGGTGGCCTCTGCACCACGGTTGCTGAGATCTGCCAGTGCAATCTTGATGAAACCTTGTGTCCTTGTGAAGGGGGAGCCCGGGGATGATGGAAAACCTGGTCGACAGGGGATTCCTGGCAGCCCTGGGGAGAAGGTGAGTGGCACACCTCTGTGTGACCTCTGGGAGGAGGGAGAGGTCCCCTGCATCAGCGTTGGCTTCAGAGCAGGGTTTCCCCAAGGCTCTGCAAGCATTTGGGGCTCTGCTCCAACGCCTGCTGACTTGACACTCCTGTGGCTTGCTCCTCCAGGGTGCTCGTGGAAACCAGGGGGAGCCTGGACCAGCAGGAGAGGCTGGCGACGAGGTGAGTCCTCTGTGATGTCCCCCGTGCATGCCTGAGGCCATCCCCACCACCTGACCACCCCTCTCTTTTCTCCTTAGGGTGCTCCAGGTCAAGATGGTCCTCCTGGAGAACGAGTAAGTGAGGGCACCGTTGCTGGTGCCACCGCTGGGGCTGGTGCCACGTGGGGAAGGCTCTGGGGGTGAGCCCACGCAGAGGTGGGCAACGAGATGAGGGGGAGGGTTTGGCTGGTCCTGATTTTGTCTTCCCACCTTCTCCTTGCAGGGCAGCAATGGAGAAAGAGGCCCCCCAGGCTCGCCGGGTGACCGTGGGCCAAGAGGAGAGCCGGTAACTGCACCCACGGGGTGGCTTTTGGTGCCTGCTTGCAACCAGGGCACCCTTGGCACCCAAGGGGCTAGAAATAGGTGCCCGGTGGCTAACCCTGTCAGCCTGTGGGCCAGCAGGCAAGCTTACTGCCTGTACCTGCCAGTCTGGGGAACCTGCTGTGGTCCCCTAGTAATCGCTAATTAGCTGGCAGCTAACGACCAAACAACCCAAGCCCAGAGGAGAACATGCCCAGCAAGCTAAAAGCAGGAGGAGAGACCTCAGCCCCTGCCTGGTGGCTGTAGAACCAGCTGTTGGAGGGCAAAGAGGCAAGGGGATGCTGGGGGGGCTGTGTTATGGGGTGCCAACGGCTTGGGGAGGGTGGCACGGGTGCCTTTAGCAGCAGGGCAGCACGTCTGGATGCCAACGGGAGGGGGGAACACCCTTCCCCTCTCCTTTTTGGGGTGGGAGTCACTAGGAAAGTATTTTTCCTGCCTGTCAGGGGTGAGTCAGGCAGGGTGAGTGGGAGAGGCACAGGCAGGAGCCCTCACCAGGCCAGCAAAAACATGTGGCAAGGGACAGAGGTGCCACACATGCCAGGGAGGGACAAGAAGTGCTGGCTGCAGAGGGTGGGGGCAGCAGCAGCAGCGTGTCCTGGCAGGGATGGGCAGCCCAGCACCCACCCCCAGCCCAGAGCAGGGGGCAGAAGGTCCCCTCCTTGGGCAGGGGGCTGTTGGCAGCCCCCACGTTCCCCTTTTACTGCCCAGGGAGTGGCCACACGTGGGGTGTGGGGCAGATGTGCACGGGAAACGAAGCCAGTGTCCTGGAGTTAAATTGTTCAGCAGACGAGGTGCTGCTTCCTTCCAAGCTTCAGTCCAAGCACGAGGCTCTGCAACCTCTCCAGAAACGTCCCCACTGGTGCTCGGGGCCCTTTGGAACTTGTGTTTTCTATTTACTCTTTGGCTTGGGCATCTGGAAGCTTCTAGCTTGCAAACAGCTTTAGGTCCCCAAGCTTTCCATCAGTTTCCTCCACGTTTGGAGGTCGGGTGGGATTGTCACGGGTTGTTTTTTGAAGACCTCCCTTCCCCTGGGGGCTGCCTGGACCCCCATCCCAGAGCTGCAGGTAGAGCAGAACCTCATTCTGAGCTATTTGTCTTGCAGCACTTGGTCCCAGCTTATTTCAGAGTGTTAGACACGCTGCCCTGTTGGGCCACAGCTCACTGGGCTGGTGGAAGGTTGGCTCTTTCCACGCTGGGGAAGTGGAAGTGGAACTGAACTGCATCCAGCCCTTGGGGGGTTCCTTCTGGTGGAGCTTGTTGGGGTGCAAATCCAGCCAGATTCAGGTTTTTTCAGCCTCTCCTGGGCTCCCAAACAGCCTCATCCAGGCACGGGGTGCTGAGTGTTAACAGAGGAGAGGGTCAGCAGTGAGAGGTGAGGACATCTTTCCCCATCTATTGGCTCGTTCCCTTAGCAGGCTGGAGGAAGAGGAGGTGGGGAAGGAAGGCTGCTACCCTGCAGGGCCTACCTCTGCAGGGGGGACAGCAGCTCTCCTCCAGCAGACTGCCCCTGGCTCTGGAAATCAGCCATGGTCGTGGCATGACGTGGTTTTGGGGACCAAGGCCAGGTCTGGGTATCTTCAGAAGCCTTGCAAGGTGGATCTCTCCAGGGACTTCCTTTTCTGGCAGAAAACAGGCTGAAAGGTGTCCCCAAGATGCAAGCACTCCCATCCTTCAGAAGACTGGCTTCTTAGGGCTATCTTCTTGGCTTCAAGGTGGCCACGCTGGGCCATTTTTATCTCCCCCCACCTCTAGTTTCCTACCCAACTCCAGAATCTGCCTGGAAAATCTCCCTCTTTGGATGGCTGCAGGTCTTTGAGTTTCTCATGCCCTCTCTTCATGTTTCCAGGGAGAGCCTGGACCACCTGGTGACCAAGGACGGGAAGGACCCCTCGGGCCACCTGGCGACCAGGTAAGAGCTTGGATTAACCCTCTCCATCCCAGGTGGAAGTGGTTGGGGCAGCAGGGAGAGTGGAGTCTGGAGCTTAACTTATGCCACAGTGTCTTGGGCCAAGTTCTCAGCATCTTCCAGCCTGGGTAGAGAAGGGGAGAAGGGTTTTCCAGGAGAATCTAGACTAGGAATGGGGCTAAAAGGACTGGAGACTTGGCTGCTGGGCTGAGGACACAGCAAGCTCCTCACCGTTTCCCAATCCCATGGAAACAGATGTCAACACATCTGACAGATTTGGAAACTGGCGAGTGCAAGCTGCAGCAAAGGCACAAAACGTTCAGGCCTGGGGCCAGAGGCTGCTCACCTCAGTCAAGGGAATCAGTGAGACATCTTGTGTCAGTGAGGACAGCCTGGTGGGGCCCCTGCACTGTCCCTCACGCCCTTGGCATCTGCAGAGACAGTCTGTCCAAAATCCAGCCTTCCTCAAGTCTGCTTGCTGCAAGGACTGGCTCTCCTCCTCTTGGGGTCTGCTTGTTCTCTCCTGCCTCAAGGAACAGAGCTCAGACCCTTCAGGCTTTCTGAGGAGTGGAGCTGGCTCCCTCTGGCCTGAGGAAGGGTCCTGTCTCCTGCAGAAAGGCTTTTTCTTCCCCAAAATGTACCCAGGTCCCAGCTCTGGGTCTGGAGGTGTTGCTGGGTTCATCCTCTGTGGTGGTAGCACTGGTTGCAATGGCCATCTGGGTCTTTGCAGCTGAGTAATGGGTGGGACAACTCCTCTCCTGCTCATACCATGAGCTATGACAGAGCCCAAGATACAGGGAACTTCTGAGAGAAACGTTCCCACGCTGGTGGAGCAGGACTTCCAGAAGGTCTGAAGCATGGAGACCAGCATGTGGATGAAGATGAGACTGCTTTTGAACTCCTCTATGACTGACCAAGTGTTGAAGAGCCCTGAAGGAGACCTGGAGTGCAGGATAACCATGAAGGGGAGAAGAATAAGAGATGGAGGAAGGATGAGTTGCTCTCCATGTGGTAGAGGCTCGTTCCAGGTTCAAGGCAGAAGGACTGCACAGAAGACAACACAACTGAAGTGGGGATTTGATCCAAACCTGGAAGCCAAAGCTCTGCACTCATAGTGGGGAGCCAGGCTGGGATAAATCCTGCCACCAGCCAGCCTTCCTCCTCTAGTGGGAGGAGGAGGAGAAAGGAGGAAGAACGGTCTCCTTGCTGTCGCTGAGTCTGTAGGACACCAGTTTTCTGCACTGACCTCCAGTCAAACTGCTGTAAGAGAGGGAAGCATTACAGAAGCAGCTCTGCTACCTCCCCCAGCCCTGAGACTGCCCCAGGGCCTCCACTGCTCCAGGGAGATTTCAAAAGCAGTTGCAAAGCGAGGAGGGTTGTGGTTTTTTTTTTCCATAAGAATGCTTTTTGTTGGCCAAATTAAAAATAAATGCGTAATTGGGCAAGAGGAGGACTTTGGCCAACACAAAGTGTTTTTCAAGACGTGCTATCTGCAAGCTCTGGCTCTTGGAGGATATTTCTCTTGGCAAAGGGAAAGGGCTCCTGCTAACCTGTGACTCCCTTTCATCCTCCTTCTATCTGAGAGAAGCTGAAGGTCACCACACTCTTCCCCTGGTCCTCATGGGCAGGTTTGGTGTTCCCTTTTTCTCCTCCTGGCCGTGGTTCTGGTCACACCCAGAAAGGTGACGGGCAAGGAGAGGAGCTGCTAAAGATTTCCTCACCCCCCAATCCTGCCTCTTCATCAGCTTCAGGGCCGTGAGGGATTGGTGCTGCAGGGAGGACACGCCAGATCCAAGGGAGCCTTCGTCCAGCTTTGGCTGATGTCAACGGTCATGAGTTCTTGTCCCTCCTGCCCAGCTGTTTCTCTTCTGAGCTTTTTGTGCAGAAAGAAGGTCACATGCCTTGGAGAAGTTTAGTGCTCTGCACCAGGCCGTGTGATTTTAAGTCCTCCACGGCCACGCCGACACCTTTCCTGGAAGAAGGGTGCAGGAGGTCTGCGTGGACGTTTGGCACGAGCTCCTTCCAACTGCTGTCGTGCAAAGAGGAGCAGAGGCAACAGCTGGAGGGGATTTCAGCTTCCTCAGCTTACGGGTGAAGAGAGGGCAGCTAGGAAGCTGGGCTAGGCTGAGTCACCACGCTAAGGCAGCTCCCAGACAGCTCAGAGGTGCTCCTGCTGCACTGAAAACAGGGAGTAAGCCATGGGGCATGCACCACCCTCATGCTGAAGGTGCCTTCCACCTGCCCAGAGGCTGAAGTTGGTCACAGGAAACATTTTGGAGGTCAGGATTCGTGAGCTTTCAGTCCCTCTGCAGCGGTGATGCTGGAGGGGACGGTTGCCCAACCATGGTGCTCTCCCCCCATGGGTTGTTCTGAGCCTACTTTTGTCATCTCCATCTCCTGGGGGTGGAGATAACATCTCCTGGGGATGGAGATAACATCTCCTGATTGCCTGCCCAGCCCAAAGGGAGGCGCTCCCTCGCTTGGGAATTTGGACCTGGGGGCAAGAGCATTGTTACCCACCATCATTACCAATCTCCTGGCAAGTCAAACCTGCAAAGGGCTGTTGGCACCCAACAGAAGGTGGCGAGGCTCCCTTGGACATCTGTTAGAGCTCTCAGAGGAGAGAAAAACTTTAAAAAAAGACCTCCTCCCACCTCCTATTTTTTGTTTCTGGCTGTCTCTGGCCAGTCCTGCTGCTGACCGCTGCCCAGATGGGATGTGGCAGGGTGACAGCTTCAGGCTGTTCCAGCACATGCTGCCAGAGCTCTGCAGCCTCCTGAGGACAGAAACTCTCCAGAGCCACAGAAGAGCCTCTTCCAGCCTGGCTGCAACCCAGACGTGTCCAAGTAGGAAGGTCTGTGACACAACTTGCTCCACCAAGGACCACCCTCTGCCCCAGGGACACCTCTGTCACAGTCGATGAGGTGTCACTGTGCAACCCGGCTGTGCTTTGCTGCTAGAAGGCATCATCCCAGCCTCCCTGGTCCTCTTCCTCACCAGGTCCTGTGAGGTGGTGGAGGGGAGGCTTTTAGAGCCTCAGAGGCTTGTTTTTTGGAGGCTGCTTCCTCCTACAGCCTGGCTGCCACCGAGAGCACGTGGTGTTCAACCCACGCCTGCCGTGTCACACCTTGGCCCCAGAAAACTTCTTGGCTTGGCTCATTCTCAGTGGGGATCTGGCCAGGGCTGCCTCCAACGGGGCTCTCTGCAGAGCAAGCAGGATGTGGGGAAGGATGGGGAGCTGCAGACTGTGCAGGGAGGGGGGAGATGTGGGGGAGAGCCAGGCACTGCTCCTGCAGCAACTCCCTACCTACATTAACCCCCATAACTAGGCCCTTTCTTGGGAGGGGGAGGTGACTCGTTGATGGGGGAGAGGGGTGAGGCAGATGCCCACACACACCCCATCTGGAAAGGAGGAGATCAGCAGCACCAAGAGGAAAAATCCCTGTTGTGAGAGCAGTTTGTGTCTCCCTAGGGCGAGGCTGGACCCCCAGGACCCAAGGGCTACAGAGGAGACGACGGCCCCCGTGGCAATGAGGTTCGTGCTGCTTCACCATCACACCTTCTGGGGGGAGGAAATGAAGGGAAGACCATGAGATGCTGCCTGTTAGGGCTGTCCCAAAATCCTTTGGGTCTTGGAAACCTGTTGGTACAAGCTCAGGTAACCTATAGGTACGAGCTCAGGTGCTCACTCCTGGCAGACACGTTGAGCCACTTGGTCCTTAGGGCCATGGCTGTATTTTCCTCCCCCTCTCAGAGGCTGTTTTGTGGAAAGAGGAGTAGCAAAACTCCCCCTGTGATGGGCTCGTGATGGTAGCGGGGTGTCTGAGGAGACATCACCATCATCCCAGCTCAGAGGATGGTGTTGCAATACTTGACTGCTCCTTCTGCTCCTTCCAGGGCCCAAAGGGATTGCCAGGAGCACCCGGGCTGCCTGGAGACCCTGGCTTGATGGGAGAAAGGGTGAGTGGGCTTTGTCTGGGGGGGGGGGATTGTGTGCTGTGGATGAGGATGTGCTTGTCATCATCTCACCTCTTTCTCCCTTCCTTTCCAGGGGGAGGATGGTCCTCCTGGCAACGGCACGGTCGGGTTCCCGGGCACCCCGGTAAGATCCTTGTGCTGCTTTGAAACCATTGGACCATTATTTCTGCTTCTCTAACACATTTCCCTTCCTCCACCCCCAGGGCCAGCCAGGAGACAGAGGTGACCCTGGCGTTAATGTGAGTGTGCTGCTTCCTCCTACACCCAACAGAAGTTCCTCAGCTTTCACCAACTTCACCACGCTACTGCCAGCTGCCTATGAAAGAGTCTTTTCTGGTCTGTTTTTCAGGGAACAAGAGGCTACGTTGGTCCTAAAGGAGATGAAGGAGAAGCTGGAGATCCTGGTAATGATGTGAGTACTCTATAGAAAGTTGAATCCTCTTTTGCTGTGAACACAGAGCTTTGGGCTGTACCTCTAAGGCCACCTTGCCTGTGTGTCAAAGCCCATCGAGCTTCCTAAGGCTGCAAGAATGTTCTGCCACTGAGCAGGGTCTGATGGCAAGAGGATCTCTGGGCATCATCTCTGCAGGGTTAGCACCAACGGTTGCATCTGTGTTGCTCAACCCTCCCAAGTCCCAGCTCATTGGGTTGGATACAGCCACCCCAGATAACATCTTTGGGGTCAAGCAGGGCTCAGCAGCATCTGGAGAGGAAGGTGCTGCACCCTGACACCCATAGAGCTGTGGATTTGGGGTTTGTTTTCATTCCAGAACCTAACCCCTGGCCCCAGGGGCATCAAAGGAGCCAAGGGCCACAGAGGACCCGAAGGCCGCCCGGTAAGTAAAGACCCTGGCAGGGTTTGCACCAGTGAGCACAGCTGATGGAGCTCTCAAAGCAGGGCTCACCATAGAGGGGCAGAAAACACAGTCACTTGTGCTTCTTCATGGCCAAACTGATGCACCAGTGAGCACAGCTGATGGAGCTGCCAAAACAGGGCTCACCACGGACTTCCTCACAAAGAGGGGCAGAAAACACAGTCTTCTGAAGTGCTTCTTCATGGCCAAACTGTTATCATCTCATCAGGTTCATAGGGTTAAGCACCTTTTTGGAGCAGCCATCCTGACCGTGTTTCAGTCTGTGCTGAGTTGCCTCTTGCAGTGCCTCACGTTGGCCTGGAGGCTACAGGAGAGGCATCATCCAAGCTAATGACCTCCATGGTCATGGTCATGGTCATTAGCATGGTCATGGCTGTGGGGACAATGCCAATGGGGAAACACTGGCCCAGGTTGCCCAGAGGAGGTGGTCAATGTCCCATCCCTCAAACCATTCCAGATTGGGTTGGATGGGGCTCTGAGCAACCTGCTTTATTTGAAGCTCTCCCTGCTCCCTGAAGGGGGGGTTGGACTAGATGACTTTTAACAATTCCTTCCAAGCCAACAGCTTCCCTTCATCAAACCTTATCAAATCAAATTCACCTTCATCAAACAGCTTGCCAAGTCACCAAAGTGATTTTTTGGGCATGGCATGTGTGGAAATGGGTTTCTGGGAACGCAAGAGACTTTGCCAGACCCTGCACTGCTTAGCAAGGTTATCTGCAAAGTCTGCTGCAGACAGGTCTGGCTCCTCTCGTGACTGCTCTCTCCCCATTTCTGTTCCACAGGGACCACCAGGACCCGTGGGGCCTCCAGGACCAGATGTGAGTGGGACAGGATTGGGGTGCTGCTTGCTTGGGCTGCCCTGACCCCTCCTCGCACGGTGGCTCCTGGGAGGGTCTCACTGCTGGGGGAGCTTCATCCTCCCAGGATTTATTCAAACCTTTCTTTATCTCTCTTTTCAGGAATGTGAAATCTTGGACATCATCATGAAGATGTGCTGTGAGTATCCCTGTGCTGCTCCTCCCACCCTGCTTGGCTCCTTGCTGGAGCTGCTTTTCATCTGGCCCCCCAGAGAGCAGGAGCATCCCTCCCCTTCCAGGAGTCCAAATTAAACCAAGGAGAGGTGGGAGGTCTTCCCTACAGCTGGGACAGTGACCAGAGGGAATTTTTTGGCACGTTGTTGTCCCTTCTGTTGACCCAGGGACTTCCAGCTCCATCTCCAGAGCAGGTCATGCCAGTGTGCTTGTTTTTCCCTCAAATAACAGGGCCTGACTTTCCCCTTTGAGAAAGGGAGATCTGTTCTGGGGTGTCCCACTGCAGGGAGGAGAAGTCCTCACGTGCTGCAAAGGGTTTCTGGCCCATGGCCAGTAATGAAGTGCTGGAAGGATGCAGGGTACTGAGCTTGAGCTCCATAATTTACTTAACCCCTCCAGAATTCCCTTTTATTTTTATTTAAATAAGACTATATGCAGTGCTGAAGTTGGGGCATCACAAGCTGAACCAGGAGAGAGATCTAGATCTTTCAAAGAGGAAGGAAAACCCCCCTGTGAGCAGGTCAGGTGTCTTCCAGCTCACAGGAACACACAAAAAAAAAGGAAAAACCCTCATGTGAAACCTTTTAATGTTCTCTCTTTCTCTCCCTTCTCTTTCAGCCTGCTGTGGTGAGTGTTACTTGGCAGAATTGCTTTGCAAATGTTTGCTAGACCTTCTTGCTGGCACTTCTCCCTTTCCCTGCTGCTTGATCTCTGCTCTGGAGACGTAGTGAGAGCCCAGGAGGGAGAAATGGGTGTAAGAAAAGGAAGGGAGGGCAGCGAGCTCTTCCTGAGGGTGCTGTGTGGATTCAGAAGCTGCTCTGGGTGGGTTCTGCAGCTGGAAAACTGTTGTTGAGGTGCCCTGTGCCAGCAAAATGCAGGAGGATTCTCCTCACCCTTCTTGCAGCTGAAAGGGACCTCGGTTCAGGGCATGCTGTGGATCCAGCTCTGTGCTTCTCCTTTCAAATCCTGTGCTGGTCTGCAGAGAAATGTGTTGGGGTTTGGGTTTTTTGGGGTGGGGTTTGTGTTT